AATGTTGTGGGCTGGCCCTGCCAGGGATTATTGTGGTATCACTCACCGCAAATGGAGAGTGGCGGGAAGGGCTAAGTTCATAAAGTGCTGAAGTTCCTCCTGTGACAGACAAGTTACCAGCAGTGGCGGGAAGGTCTCAGGCCTGGGTGCTGCGGGAGGTCAGACTAGATGAGCGGACGGTGCCGGGGGTGCACAGGGAGCAATGTGTGCAGGAGGGTGCTGAGAGCCACTGACCTGAACTGTAACCCCTGTGTGTGATGGGACCACTTCAGGAGCGGTGCCGCTGGCTTCAGAACCCCTCTCACAGAGAAACCTGCAGAACAGGGCCCAGCCACCGCGTAGCGCATCACTGGACTGGGCCTTAACCGCTGCTCTGGCCATTGCAGCTCCGGGGCCAAGTTCCCCGCGGTGCCAAATCCTCCCCCTTTAGCTCCCCCTTCGCCCCCGGCTGCCCGGCCGGGTTCTGCCCAGCGACCGGTGATGGAGGCGGGTCTGTGCGTCGCTATTGGTGGGATGTTCCCCTCTCAGCCAATCGCTGCAGCGCAGAGGTTCCCACGGTGAGTAGCGGGGACTCGGGAGCTGGCAGCACGCAGCGAAGTTCTCAGGGCCTGGCCGGGCTGTGACGGGCGGAGAGTGAGTCCATGGGCCGAGTCCTGCCGCGCTGGGGGGTGCAGGGAGGGGGGAGCTGGGTGTCGGGGGGCAGCCGGGCTGGGGGTGACTGTGGGGGGATGGGTGTCGTGGGGCAGCTGGGCCGGGGAGTTGCAGGGAGGGAGGAGCTGGGTGTCGTGGGGCAGCTGGGCTGGGGAGTTGCAGGGAGTGGGGAGCTGGGTGTCGGGGGCGGGGCAGTTCTGGGCTCTGTGTTCAGAGGTGTCGGGATAACCCCCAGCACTGAGCTGTCACTGACATCGAACAGTGACGTTGTTATAGTGACTGGGGGGGGTCCGGGCCCCCTTGTGCCAGGTGCTGACAGGGGTGCTGCTGGGAGAATGTGTGTGTGTGAATGGGTTGAGAGCCCCTGACCCGAACTGTAACTCCTTCATCTAATGCCAACCACTCCCAGCCAGGGGGTGCGGTACCGTTAGGACCAGCACCTATGGGTGCTGCACACGCTGACAATCCCGTCGCAGCCCCGTGATGCTCCCAGGCTGTCGGGAAATCCCCGGTGCCAGGCGCTGCCCAGGCTGTTTCATTCCCAGCATCTCAGGGCAGGGCGGGGCTTTCAGACATGATTCCTGTGTGCAGAGCTCTGCTGACTGTTAGTGAGAGGGAGTAGATTACTCCACCACTCCCCATAGACTAGGAAGGGAAAAGGCTTCTTGGATCTCTGACCTTTAATGGCTCCCAGAAGGTTCTTCACGCTGGGTTTAACCCCAGTGCCTGGAACTCCTGAGTGTGGCTTGTCCTTGGCTACATACAGCTAGGCTCCGTCAGCACCAGTCCAGTGACCCCACGGTCAGTGATGGGACGTGTCTGTAATGGAGACAAGTCTAATTAGAGGTGTCAGCTTAGGGAGGGGATGTGTCCGGTCTCTGGCCATGCAACCAGGGCAAGGGGAGAGGTTAGAGCCCAAGGATCTTTGCATTAATCAGGTCTCAGTTTGGGTGCGAGCTCCCGTTGCAGAGCACAGAACAGCTGCTGTGTTTGTGCTGTTGGGATCTCCTGTGACTGCCGGATAAAGAGCTTTAGGCGCCAGTAAGGTGGCGAGGGGCAGGCACAGGCACATCCTGCTTTTCCTAGCATGGACTTGAATCTTCCATGGCCCCAATCTTGGTCCAGAGTTTGCCGTGCGGCAGCAGCTCAGACACCAGGGAGCTCAGCAGCCCTTATCCAGCTGCGTGAAGCTGCGGGTTGGCCTTGGGGGTTTGTTTGAAGTGGTCTCAGGCACATTGTTGCCCTCGGGTCACCTCAGTAGCAGGCTTGGTTTGACATAAACAGGGTTAGGCCCAGTGCAGCCTGGCCTTGCGGGGTTGAGTCAGGGACCAGGAACGAAAGCAGGGAAGTGAGGGGGTATATGTGTCGGGTTATCCCTGCAGCAACGAGACAGGAGGCCCTCACTCCCAGTCCTGGTGTAACTCCAGTGGTGCAGAGGTTTGGCCTGGGGCTTGCAGGGCTGGGTGTGTGCGCAGAGAAGGACGTTGATGATGATCACAGAGGGTCTGGGCCAACCTCACATTCTCACTGTCTGGTTTGGCTTTTTTAATGCATTACATCCAGCACCAGCTCCTGTCGGTGCCTGGCTGGACCTTTGTCGTCTGTGCTCATTACATTAAAGGTGACCTGACAAGGGGGAAATAGGCCTAATTCATAAAGTGCTTGGAGATCCCCGCATGACAGACAAGTCACTGAGCTCCATAAAGGCACCGCTGGATGTTCTCAGGCCTGCGTTCAGCAGGAGCTCAGAGTAGATGAGATAGTGGTGTCAGGGGTGCTGGGCATGGGCGGTGAGTGAACAGCTGGCCTGGCCTCAGCCCCACCCCTTCCAGCCAAGGCCCAACACCTTCCATGCCACCCGGAGCGCAGTCCCAGTTGTGGCTACTGGCTTCTGTCCTGCACCCCCAGGTCCCCCCCTGCATTATGGCCGCTGGCACCTGCCCAAGGCTAGTGCCTGCCCCCCAGTGCGGGATAGCCGCGTGGCCCAGCTCCCCCCCAGTGCAGGATAGCCGCGTGGCCCAGCTCCCCCCCGAACTCGTCCTGCCAGGCAACCCCAGCCAGCTTCCCCCTGGCCCTCTCCAGCCACGCTGTAGCCCCGGCCCCCCAGCCTTCTTGGAATGGAGCCACATGGCTGCCTGGCTTCTCTGGCAGAGCCGGGGCTGCACAGCTGCCCCAGGGGGCAGAGTGGGGCCGAGTGGCTGCTCCGGGGGCCAGAGTGGGGCTGGGGGAGGATATGGGACTGCCCAGCTGCTCTGGGGACGGGCGGTGGGGGGGAGATGGGGCTGCTCGGCGCTCTGGGGACCGGGAAGGTGGGGCTGCCCAGCTGCCCTGAGGGCTGGGTTGGGGGGAAGATGGGGTTGCCCAGCGCTCTGGGGGCTGGGAGGAGGGGAGATGGAGCTGCCTGGGGCTCTGGGGGCCGGAGTGGGGCTGGGAGGGAGATGGGGTTGCCCAGCGCTCTGGGGGCTGGGAGGCGGGAAGATGGGGCTGCCCAGGTGCTCTGGGGGCTGGGGGGGGGGAGATGGGGCTGCCTGGGGCTCTGAGGGGCGAGGTGGGGAGATGGGGTTGCCCAGCACTCTGGGGACCAGGGGGGAGAAGATGCGGCTGCCCAGGGCTCTGGGAGGGATACGCTTGCCTTGGGCAGGGGGAAGGGGGGATCCAGCAGCCAAATGGAGGGGACTGGGGGTGCAGGGCAGAGGCCAGTGGCCACAATGGGGGCTGGCCTCTGGAGTCCGGTGGGCATGGAAGGGGCGGGGCCTTGGGCAGAAGGGGCGGGTCTGGGGCTTGCCTCCTCAACCCAAGCCTTCACCCACCGCCCATGGTGGGACTCCTGTCTCCACTTCTCTGCTTCAGTCCCTTTACTCCTAAAGGAATTTAAAATTGGTGATGCCTCCACTTGGCTGGGCCCCTGTATACACACAATGGCGCACACTCCAGGAATAAACCTATTCTAACAATCATCTGTGGCACTGGTCTAACTCAATTATAAATAATATACATCCAATGTACTTAAATTAGATTTAACACACCTTTACTTAATTTAAAGAAACGGAATAACAGACTAAGATTAAATGTCACTACTAATTTAAATGCACAGGGGGCAGTTGAATAAAATCAATTCACAAATACAGGATACAGTAATAATTGAAATGTATAACTGGCATTTACACTGCCACCATTTACCCCACCCCGGAGCGCACACTCCTCTGGATTTCAGAGTCCTCGACACTTGCATGGGAGCGCTTGGAGATCTGCAGCTGGAGTCAGCACTCTGCAGGTTCTGTGTATCTGTCCAGCCAAGGCAGCAAGCTGCACACCCCTCTGCCAACGGGAGTTGGCCCTACCAAACGTCAGCAGCTCTGGGTCCCGGTTTGATGGGATGATCGCTCTGCCTCTCCTCAGACTCAGTCTCTCTGCTGTGCCCCTTCTCTTGCCAGCACTTTCCCAAAGCAGAATGGGGGTTACTCACCGTTCCTCCCCTGCAGGCTCCAAGCACAGCAACCCAGTCTCTGCTCGGACTCCAGTGAAGCCACCAACAGCCTTTGAGGCTCCCTGCAGCTCAAAGCCCCGGCAGGCTCCAGCAGCTTCCTAGCAGCAGCTGGCCTGACCAGATGAGAAGTGTAAAAAATTGGGACGGGTGGGGGGTAATAGGTGCCTATATTAGACAAAGCCCCAAATATCGGGACTGTCCCTATATAATCAGGATATCTTGTCACCCTAGCACAGGGGTTCTCAAAGTGGGGGTTGGGACTCCTCAGGGGGTCACGAGGTTATTACATGGGGGGTCGTGAGCTGTCAGCCTCCACCTCAAACCCCGCTTTGCCTCCAGTATTTATAATAGTGTTAAATATACAAAAAAGTGTTTTTAATTTATAAAGGGGTGGCACACAGCGGCTTGCTATGTGAAAGGGGTCACCAGTACAAAAGTTTGAGAACCCCTGCCCTAGCAGCAGCACCTGGTATAGACAGCGCTCCACCCCAGCAGCCTGCCTCCAGTCCCCAACGCAGAGCCCACTGCCCCCCCCCCGCAGTCCTCCCCCGGGGCATCATGGGAGTTGTAGTCTCTAGGGCTAGATTGCAGCAGAGGATCTCCCTAACTGGGAAACTCCCAATAAACGCCAGAGGCCCCTCTAGCAAAGCGGTGTGTGGGTGGGGGCTACATTAGTTAATTGCCTTTCTGGTCATTACAGCCCCAGGGCCAAGTTCTCCGCTGCGCCAACCCCCTCAGACTTTCGCTTCCCCTTCGCCCCCGGCTGCCTGGCCGGTTCTGCCCAGCGACCGGTGATGGAGGCGGGTCTGTGCGTCGCTATTGGCGGGATGTTCCCCTCTCAGCCAATCGCTGCAGCGCAGAGGTTCCCACGGTGAGTAGCGGGGACTTGGGAGCTGGCAGCGCGCAGCGAAGTTCCCGGGGCCTGGCCGGGCTGTGACCGGCCGAGAGCGGGTCCATGGGCCGAGTCCTGCCGCGCTGAGGGGGGCGGCGATGGCCCTGGCGCTGCGCCTGCTGCTGCTGGGGGCTGCAGCCCTGCAGGGGGGGCACTCCCGTGAGTATCGGGGATGTGGGCAGCCGGGCCGGTGCCGGGAGGGGCAGGGCTGCCCAGAGGATTCAGGGGGCCCCGCCGCAGAATTGCCGCCGAAGACCTGGAGCGGAAGAAGCTCCGGGGTCCCGGGCACCACGAGAGTTTTCCGGGGCCCCTGGAGCGTGTGAAGTACCCTGCTCCAGGGGCCCTGAAAAACTCTCCTGGGGGCCCCTGCAGGGCCTGGGGCAAATTGCCCCACTTGCCCCCCTGGGCGGCCCTGGGGATGGGGGAGCTGGGTGTCAGGGGGCAGCCTGGCTGGGGGGGTGCGGGGAGGCGGGAGCTGGGTGTCGGGGGGTGGCCGGGCTAGGGAGGGGGAGGGGGGGGGGGGCTGGGGGGTGGGGGGCGGGGGGGGGGGGGGGGGGGGGGGAGCGGGGTGTCGGGGGGGTAGTTCTGGGCTCTGTGTTCAGAGGTGTTGGGATAACCACCCCGCGCTCCCCCCCAGCACTGACCGGTCACTGACATCGAACAGTGACGTTGTTATAGTGATTGGGGGGGTCCAGGCCCCCTTGTGCCAGGTGCTGCCAGGGGCGCTGCTGGGACAATGTGTGTAGTGGGGGGTGTGTGCTGAGAGCCATTGACCCGAACTGTAACCCCTTCATCTAATGCCAACCACTCCCAGCCAGGGGGTGCGGCACACGCTGACAAGCCCGTCACAGCCCCGTGAGGTGCTCCGGCTGTGGGGAAATCCCTGGTTCCAGGTTAGGGTGACTAGATGTCCTGATTTTATAGGGATAGTCCTGATATTTGGGGCTTTTTCTTATATAGGCTCCTATTACCCCCCACCCCGTCCCGATTTTTCACACTTGCTATCTGGTCACCCTATTCCAAGCGCTGCCTAGGCTGTTTCATTCCCAGCGTCTCAGGGCAGTGCGGGGCTTTCAGACAGGATTTCTGTTTTGCTGATGGTTAGTGAGAGGGAGTAAATCACCCTCCCAGATAGACCAGGGTTAAATGAAGGGAAAAGACTTCTTGGAACACTCTGACCTTTAATGGCTCCCAGAAAGTTCTTCATGCTGGGTTTAACCTCAGTGCCTGGAACTCCTGAGTGTGGCTTGTCCTTAGCTACATACAGCTAGGCTCTGTCAGCACCAGTCCAGTGACCCCATGGTCAGTGCTGGGACATGTCTGTAATCAGGGCCGCCGAGAGCAGGTTCGGGCCCCGGTGAAATTTTTTTTTTCTGGCCTCCCAGCAAGGGCGTACCAGCTAAACAGGGCCTACGAGAGGGGGGGTAAGCCAGGCCCCCTTCTGGACTCCGGTAATTTGTACCGGCTTCCCCACCTCTCGTCGGCCCTGTTGGTAATGGAGGCAAGTCTAATTAGAGGTGTCAGTTTAGGGAGGGGATGTGTCCGGTCTCTGACTGTGCATCCAGGGCAAGGGGAGAGGTTAGAGCCCAAGGATCTTTGCATTAATCTCAGTTTGGGTGCGAGCTCCCGTTGCAGAGCACAGAACAGCTGCTGTGTTTGTGCTGTTGGGATCTCCTGTGACTGCCGGATAAAGAGCTTTAGGCGCCAGTAAGGTGGCGAGGGGCAGGCACAGGCACATCCTGCTTTTCCTAGCATGGACTTGAATCTTCCATGGCCCCAATCTTGGCCCAGAGTTCGCCATGTGGCAGCAGCTCAGACGCCAGGGAGCTCAGCAGCCCTTATCCAGCTGCTTGAAGCTGCGGGTTGGCCTTGGGGGTTTGTTTGAAGTGGTCTCAGGCACATTGTTGCCCTCGTGTCACCTAAGTAGCAGGCTTGGTTTGATGTAAACAGGGTTAGGCCCAGTGCAGCCTGGCCCTGCGGGGTTGAGTCAGAGGCCAGGAACGAAAGCAGGGAAGTGAGGGGGTGTATGTGTCAGGTTATCCCTGCAGCAACGAGACAGGAGGCCCTCATCTCGGGTTCACTCCCAGTCCCGGTGTAACTCCAGTGGTGCAGAGCTTTGGCCTGGGACCTACAGGAATGTGAGTGCGTGGGCAGAGAAGGATGTTGATGATGATCAGAGAAGGTCTGAGCCAAGCTCACATTCTCACTGTCTGGTTTGGCTTTTTTAATGCGTTACATCCAGCACCAGCTCCCATCGGTGCCTGGCTGGGCCTTTGTTGAAAGAAAAATCCTCTGTGCTCATTAAATTAAAGGTGACCTGACAAGGGGGAAATAGGGTGTCCATTTCTGTTGCTTCCTAAGGGATAGCAAAGACCCAAAAGGGTTTTTTCCCCTCCTTGTTTTATTTTGTCTCGTTTGCCTGTTTTGCTGGAGGTCTCCTTGGAGTACCGGAGACTCGCAGTGGGAATTCTCAGTCCTCAAATGAAGGGCCACGGGGTATTGAGTCTTTACCGAGGACAGCTTTTTTTCCTTCTGCTCAACAGGTGCTTGGTTTAAATAGGGCTTTGCTACACACAAATTTGCTCCAGTTTAATTAAACCGGTTTAGTTAAATGAGTGCAAACCCCTTTGTGGACCCTTTTATTTCGGCATAACTGTGGCCTTTTTTCAGTTTAGGTTAAACTGATTTCCCAGCAACTTAACCTGAACTGAAAAAAGCTTCTCTTACATCGGAATATGAGTGTCCACGTGGGGCTTTGTACAGTTTAAATGAATCACTTATGTTTAGTTATACTGGTGCAACTCTCCATGTGGACAAGGCCTAACCGACTTAAGGTAAACAGAAAAAAGCCATTCTTAAACTGGAAAAGGAGTGTCCACAGAGCCTCTTGTACTGGTTTAACTAAACCAGTTTAACACTCACCTTAATTTAAACTGGTGTGAATTTGTGTGTAGAGAAGGCCAAGGTATTAACAATGAAGTTTAAACAGGTGGAATAAACTTTTGAGGGCTGGTTTACATGCAGTGTTTGTGCCACATTTACACAATTTGAAACCATCATAGCTAAGGGCTTGTCTACATTGGCAATTCACAGCGCAGTAACTTGCTGGCTCAGGGGTGTGAAAAATCACCCCCCTGAGCGCAGCAAGTTTCAGTGCTGTAAAGCGCTAGTGTAGACTGGCTCCCAGCCCTCGGAGCTATTCCCCTTGTCGACCTGGTTTACCAGGAGCGCTGGGAGAGCTCTCTCCCCAGTGCTCGCGGGTGACCACGCTGTCAGGTCAAAGCACTGCCGTGGGAGCGCTCCTGTGGCAGCACTTTGAACTGTCTAGTGTAGACTTAGCCTAAATCACCACTTAGGCTATGTCTCTACACTGCTCATCTGACAGCTGTAAGGCACTCAGTGTAGCCCCTCTTTGTCGGCAGGAGAGAGCTCTCCCGCTGACAAAATAAAACCACCCCCAACGAGGGGTGATAGTTGTGTCGACTAAGCGCTGTCCACACCAGCACTTTTCATTGGTAACACTTTTGTTGGTCGGGGTGTTTTTTTCACACCCCTGTGTGTCAAAAATTTTACCAACTAAAGTGCAGTGCAGACATAGCCTTAGTGTGGACACAGTTATACTCGAGGCTTAAATTGCCATTGAGTATTTCCTGGAGTCCCCCACAGTTCCCCTCTCTGTCCCCCCATTCAACAGCATCAGGCTGGAGTCGAGGTCTGAAAATATTTACCTGTGCTCCGCTTTGGACAGCTCCGGCTGAATTTAAGCCCTGGTTACACTGGTACAGATTGTTCCCCTGCATTTACAGCAATAAGCTATACTGGTGTAAAGCACGGCTGTACCGATAGAACTGCACTCGCACTAGGGGGTGTATTTAACTATTTTGGTAAAAAGAAACAAACAAGAAAACGTAAATAGTTAAAAGCAGAACAAAAACTGGATAGAGGTGGCATCAGCATAGGGTTTCCAATCTTCCAGGATTGTCCTGGAGTCTCCAGGAATTAAAGATTATGTCATGTGATGAAACATCCAGGAATATGTCCAACCAAAATTGGCAATTACAATGAGTGTAATTGGTTCGGAGCAGGGACTGTCACTTGCTCTGTCTTTACAATACCCAGTACAGTGGAGCCCCAGCATGATTAAAGCTAGAATGTGCTACCACAACATGAAATAATAATTCCTTCCCCTCTCGTTTTCTCGGGTTACACGTCCGCCCCTCAAGTTCTCCAACTGGCCATAGAGTCTTTCACGAAAAACAGGGCCAACAGGACGGGGCTTTCTAGTGGGAAGAGCAAGCCAATTTAAAAAGTAAAGCTCTCTGCCCTGCTGTCGTCATCATCGTTATTTATTATTGTTTTATGGCAGCACCAGGCACCTCAGTCATGGTCTTGGACCCCCCTGTGCCAGGTGCTGTACAGATACAAAACAAAATATGGTCCCATCTGAGTATAAGACAGGAAACAACAGATGGATATAGACAGATGGGGGATCATAAGTAGACAGCACTGGCCAGCGTGACAGGCTGTGGTCTCAGAGCACCAAAGGCCTAACGGTTATCTAAGTTTTTAGGCACCCTGGCAAAGGAGGGCATTGAGGAGGGTTTTGGAGGATGAGGTAGTTTCACAGACATTTACCAGGAGCTCCTCCCAGGCATGAGGGGCAGCATGGGACAAAAAGGGGTCTTTTGAATATGTAAAAAGTGGGTGATGGAGGCTGGAATCATGTGCAGATCAGAGGTGGGAGTCGACATTTTGGTAGCAAATGAGAGATGACAGGTCAGCTGGGGTTAGGCTGTGAAGGGCCTCACAGCTGAAATCAGGCAGTTTATATTTGATGCATTGGAGGAGGAGGAGCCAATGGAGGGAGGCAAAGAGAGAGGTGGCATGGTCCGATCAACGGGATAGGAAATGATCTTTTCAGCATCTTCTGAATGGATCTAAGCGGGATGAGCCTGCATTTGTCAAGGCCAGAGAAAAGGATGTTGCAGCAGTCGAGACACGAGATGCTGAGAGCCTGGAGCAGAGTTTTGCTGTGGGGCTGGACAGGAAAGGCCACATCTTAGAGAGGTTCTGCAGAAAGAGTCAGCAAGATTTAGACATAACCTGGATGTGATGACCTAGAGAGAGGTCCGAGTCAAAGATGACGCCCAGGTTACGGACCTGAGTGACAGGATGGTGGCGTTATCCACAGTGACTGACAAAGGAGGTAGCAGGGAAGTCTTGGGGGGAAGATTGGGAACAAGTCAGTAGGTGCATTGCCAGCAGATCGAGGAACGTGATCGTTCCCCTTTTATTCAACATTGGTGAGGCCTCATCTGGAATACT